AAGGAAATAAGGAATGTTGGGGGAGGGGTGACAATTTTAAGGTAAACAGGAACCAGGCCTCACTGGGGTGATGCTATGTGAGCAGAGAAATACAGATCTTGAGAAAAAAATGTTGCAGGCAGAGAGAACAGTCTGCAAGGGCCAAGGCCATGAGGCAGGATTATGCTTAGCTTAGCATGTTCAAACAAGTGCAGGGAGACTCCGGTGTCTGGGTTGAGGGTGGGTGAGGGGGAGAAGGGCTGAGAGAGGCAACGGGGGCCAGATGGTGTGGGGCCATGTGAGATGTGGTGCGTTCCCTCAACATTCCTTGTTGTCCTCCACCTATTTTTTTCCCCATTGCACTGAGTGAGACGGAGACAAGGGAGGGCTCTGAACCGAGGACAACCATGATCTAACTCAGGTGTTAACAGGTCCCTGTGGCTGCCTTTGGGAAACAAACTCTGAGAGGCAAGCAGGGGGACCAGGGAGAAGACTGCTGTGATAATCCAGGCAGGAGAGATTGGAGGCTGGACCAGGAGGGAGAAGAAATGGTTGGATTCTAGAGGGATCTTGAAGGTTGAGCCAAATGATTGGATGTGAGGGAAAGAGAGGGGGACCGAGATGATATTAGGATGGAATGAATGATTGTTAACTTGGAGGAAGGGTAGACTAGGAGCTGGTGGGTTAGAAGTTGGCAGCAGAATCCTAAACCTTAGGTTGGAGGGTTTATTTCAGGAACAGTGTGTGTCAGACCTCAGATCAACGACTAAATGTCAGCTCCACAGGGAAATCCCCCCTACCATCTGCTTCCCTGCAGCCTGGGTCAGGGTGTCTGGCCATGCTCTCAGGCCCCCAGGCTTCCCCTTATCAGTGTAGATTACAATTGGGATTATAGTCAACAAATAATCACTGTGCACTTACTCTTTGTGGGCTCTGTTCTAAGTCTTTTATATGTATTACCTTGTTTAGATCTCATTGAGGTAGGGGCTTTTCACATCCCCCATTTCACAGATAGGGAAATTGAGGCCCAACGAGGTTAAGTAACTTGTTCAGGGTCACATAGCTAGAACATAGGATCGACCCTAGGCAGGCCGGCCCCAGAGCCTGAGTTCTCAAACACCCACCNTTTGTAAGAGAGATGATACCATGTACCTTGAAAACTGTATGGTGAGAATCAAGTGAGATGACTATATATGTCATCCTGATAGATTTCCTTAGGTAAATTTTACATATGTATTATTTTATATATGTAAAATAAATTCCTTAGCACGTGGTTGGTGCTCAAAGAAATACCTTTTGTTGCTCCCTTCAATTTACTACAATCCTCCCTCACAGCCCTCAGAACAAGCCCTGGTTAGCTGGGGTGCCCTGGAGCCTACCCAGGGTGTAAACCTGACATGATCCAGAGCCCCCGCACTAAGATAATGGGGCGTTTTCCAGGAAGGACCAGGGAATGGTGTCTTGACTGTGGTGACCCAGGTGGCTTCAGGGTCCAATGACTTTCATAGTCACTATTCCTCCCCCTCGCACATCTCTCTTTGGCCTCTGCAGCTGCGTGTTCATCTGGCACCTGGGCCCGGAGATCACCAACTGCATGAAGCAGCACTTGCTGGAAATTGACCACCGGGAGCAGCAGCAGCGGAGCACGCAGGACGGGAAGTGGAGCAGCCACCCCAGGTTGTGGCAGCCACCTGTGCTCCCCCGGAGGAATGTGTTTCTGCCCTAGGCCCTGAGAGGAGTGATGTGGGGGACATGGCCATGGCCAAGACAGCCCTGATCTTTGTGCACTCGCAGCCAGTGCGGGGGATGAACTTTGAATACAAAATTATTATAATACACATGAGAAGGGTTTTGAAGTGGAACAGCCTGTGAGCACTGTGATGGGGGAAGCCCCAGGGGGCTGTGGGGACCAGAGGAGGCCCCTGCTCCAGCCGGCGGTGGGGAGGGAGGTGGTTGGGGAAGGGTCTAGTGGCGTTGAGTTGCCTTCTTACTCTTTAAAGTCTTTTGCTGCGAGACCACTTTTATTTGGAGTGGATTCATGTTCTAGTTTTTGATTTGGGATTTGGATTTGGAGGTCTCATTTTGAGGAGGAGGTTTTGGGGGTTTTCTTCTCTTAACCCAGGAGCTGTCTCTGTTTTGAGGCCTTGCCATTGCCTCCCCGTAGGGACCAGGCCTTGACATGGGCTGCCTGTCCTGAGGTGGTATTGGAGGTACTGCAGATGAAGATGCCAAGGGAGAGAGCAGCTCCCTTTGGCTCCTGGTTTCGAGGCTCACACCCTACCCAGGGGCTGGAGCAGGGTTCTGGCTCCAGCGCCCACCTCGTGTGAAGGATGTTTTAGACTCCTGGACTCCAAAGGAGCTAAAATTTCACTGCTACCCCTCACTTCCCAGAACAGAACCCAGCAACTCAGCACCCAAGCCCCACAATCTGCTTTGTTTTCTGTTCCATTGCTGTGGCCCCTGGAGAGTTTTATTTTTGGAACCCAGTCTTTCTTATATCTCATTTATTGTGTTGATATATTTCTAGCAGAGCGGGTGTGGCAGGTGAGACCTCCCAGCACCTTCTTGACCAAAAATCAGTTCCATATGTTCATGTGCAACCTAGCACAGGGCCCAGCCCTAAGCAGGTCCCCCGAGCACCTCATTTATCTATTTCTCTTCCTTGCTGTCCTTTTTTCCGGCTTCAGGCAGGAGACATATGCACCCATACCCAGAGAGGTTTGCTCCCTAAGCCCTGGAGAGCAGACAGAGGATGAGCTGGAGGACGAATGCCAACCTGAAGAGTTGCTGAAGACACCATCCAAAGAGAGCTTGGATCCAGGTTGG